AGAGAGGGTATATTTTTGTTTCCATGTCATTATTATTATTTGTTATGTGCTGTTGGTTGATGTATTATTGTGAATTTATCAAAAGCATAATGAAAGTGCAAATAAATTTATTTGTGTATCGTATCTTTTGGTTGAATATTTCAATTGATTTTGTGTGTTGTATATCAGCGTTGATGTATATGAAAAAAATTGTTTGCTGCTATGGTTCAATATTAGGGTGCACATTAGTGAAAAATTGGGCGTGAGTTGATCCCCTAATTTAATTCCATGTTCTTGGCTAATTTTGCAGGCAAAGAAATGTGAAATGTTTGTTTGGATTGACCCACCTATGTGTGCACGGTCAAAGCAAATCATACTCGGGTTGTTAAAGAAAATAAACAGCTTGGAATCACAATTGGAGCTCAAGAACATCGACGGACCAAAGGATGATTACACCATGTTTGGTTTTCCCCAGTTTGGTTTTTTCTTTGTTTTGATTCCAATTTTTTTATATTATGTACTTATGCATTAGGGCCTCGCATATGTATTTCATAACAAAAAAAAATGTTTAACCTAAAGACTCTACGCCAGGGGTTGTATTTTAATTTTTCTATGTTCATCGTTGTTAATTCGTAGTAATGAATATTGTTTCCATAGCTATTGTTGTTGACTCATAGTAATGAATATTGGCTCACTGGTCATTCTTGTTACATTGCATTATTTTAGTGTCTGCATTAATTATGGTGGATATTTATTTTGAAGTATAATACATGCATATAAGTTTGTTCATGAGTTTCATTTAAGCATAAAACTAATAAGATCAGTCCGTAAGGAAACAAGACTCATACTAAAATTCGATTTGCATTTAGGCATCTTAATTTTCACCATTGCCGCCATCACTTGGTTCCTCATTCTAGACATCTTAATTTTTTGCAATCCAAAACAAGAGCAATGATACATAGTGATAAAAGAGACATATGCATAAATACTGATGGCATTCAATGACAATATTTATTTTGTAGATATGTTTTATTCATAAATATTTATTTATCTTGCTTCAACTTGAACAAAAAATGAAGTCCAATTGGCACCACTGGTTTTCTTTTCCAATGCTTTCATTTTATGGCAAAAGTGAAGAAAACCTGTAAACATCACCTCTGCATCCTTTAATTCGAGTTGGTTGTACAATTAAACAATTAAATTACTACATTATAATATGAGAAAATCAGAATGATAGAATTAAGCCTATGAAAGACATTTGAGGTGAATGAACATGCATTAATATTAATATTCTGCTTAGCAACTTTTGTAATAAATTTTGTTCTTTTGAGGTGAATGAACAATATGGATAGTTAATATCCTTTCCAATTTGACATCAACCTATCATATCTACATCTCATCCGCCACTTTAGCCAAAATCTTCCACATTCATTTCGTAGATTTTTTCTACATCGTCATTATTACGTTTAACATATTTTTGATCTATAAATTCGAGGCATTGTTTCTTTGTAAAACATGCCAAAACAGTACTAGTATTCAAAAATAAATTGTGTAGAATGACAAGAAAAAAAAACTCAATATTTAGGCAAGAGGATTTCTTGTATGAGTTAGACTGGGATGAAATGATCGATAGCTACTTTATTGAAGCTCTACCGTTCGAGTCCAAATTAGGTAAGTTCAAACGTGGAGAAAAAATGCTTTGGCTTTATTTGCGGCTCAAGAAGCCATCCAACACAAATTTGGCATTTTTTTCTCGTACAAACACCTCACCAAAAAGCTTGGCATTTTAGAGAAAAGGTTCATTACGTTTCATTGGATGCTATCCGTGGAAGGAGTCGTTTACAATGCAACCACTAATGTCGTTACGGCCCCCGATCACGTTTGGACATACATGATGAAGGTAATATTGTTTGTAATTATTTTGTTCAATGTCTACTCATTTAAATAATAATCTCTTTAAACTTTTTAATAGAAGAACTCTGATGTTGTAACTTACTTGTAAATATTAAATTTTTATTCTATCTTATATTTAGGCAAACACATTTGTATTTGCTTACCGACACATTGGGGATGATAAGTACGAAGAGTTGAAAACGATGTTTGGATCAGCACCCATTAACATTCCACCTCCCGAGCATGAAATCATTATTTTGTCATCTGATGATGACGAAATTACTCCTGCTAATGAAGCTGGCCAAGTAGCACCACCCATCATTGAAGATGATGCATTTGATGCCGACTACGTTCAACCTATCTTTGAACACGGTCTATCCGAGAATGGTCGTGTAGATAATGCACCCAATGATTAACCAGTGAGTAGCCGTCAAAACCATGTAATCGAAGTGTCGTCCGGAAAATCGGCAAGGCCGTCATTCAACGTCAACAATTATCTTGCCTATATTTTTGATTCAGAGTGTTCACTTGAAACGAATAACAGCACAACCAACTCCAAGAGAGTGGGCTCCCATGATGTTCGTAAGCGCTCTATATTGAAATCAAAATCGCACAACACGAACAAATACAATCCTTCAAACCCACCCAAAAGTTTATGTGGTTCAAACAGGCCGTATTTGGTTTACAAGACTCCGGAAAAAAAATGAAGTTGCAATTAGTGGTACCCCGTGCATGTTTTTGTGTCTAAAAATGAAAGGTTTAATATTAATTTTCCCATGGTATCTTAGTGTACAAGTGGGCGGCTATTATATGTTGTAAGATAGGGATCAAAGTTTAGCGCGGGCGTATTATATGTGTGTACTACTATAACATAATTAAAAAGGAGCTATAATTCCTCGTTCGTTTTTTTGGGAAATATGCCAAGCCTTGTAAAATAGGATATGAAAAATTATGCATTATTATCAATGGAAGTATTTGTATAATAGCAATTATGTCTGTAAAATATGAATTTACTTTTCCAGAAGCTACATGTTTGATGGTCCACATTACCAAAAGGGGCCAATTAATATAATACAACCAAAAAGGGGTATGGCCTAAATTACAATCAACTAATAAGTCTGCATAAAAATATAGCGATTGTCTTCATAAAGTTGCATATAATTGTTCTAGTAACGTCCTTGAAGGATCATGTTGACCATAGTGGCCTTGTGCTCATCACTCAAACCGGTGAAGATATCAAGATCTTTGGTATTGTTGCAAACAAACTTCGATATATTAATCTTGTCTTCTACAGTTAGATGGGGAATTGTTGCAAGTGAATTGAACACACCTTGTCATGCTGATATAACATCGGCCTTGTGCCCAATTCTTTTAACCAGCTCGCCTAGTTTCGAGTCCGTTTTGTCGAATAAATTAGCCATCATGTTGGCTATGCTTTTGTCAAGGTCGTCATCACGTGCACGTTTTTTTTTTCCGGTTTTGCTTTTCGTCTTTCCAGATGATGTACTTTCACCGCCGCAATGTGACATGAAATCAGTGAATGTGTTGTTAGACATTTGAGGTTGTGGAAATGATTCATCATCAGCTGACACATGTTATGCTTCATTACTGCTCATTTGTGATCATTGATAGCATCGACAAATGCCTCTGAATTTTCACCGGTCGCACGATCTTTACCGAAGATGATTGTCCAGTCCAGAAAGGCCATGCCTTGTATCTCATAGTGCGTGCATTCATGTCTGTCTGTTAAGTTTACACATATGATATTTACCTGAGTGAATCTAATATTAAAGTTTGTGTCGAATTAATCGAAAAATACCTTAATGTACTCCTGCCAAACTTGGTCATCAAACACGTCAATAGTATTTGATGAGTCATTCCACCCAAATCCGGATCTCGACATCATCGTGCTCAATGATTTGTACTGTTTTTTCCACACGTGTATCTTTGAGTGGATGTGTGGATCTGCCTTGAGATCGGTTCCGGGAAATGATTGTGCCATGGAGTTTTCAAGAGTCGCTAGATACCCGGTTTTGAATCCGTTCTCGCATTTTCATCCCCGGTGCACGATGTCTTTCAAAGCCATAATAAGACTTTGTTCTTCCTGCATAGTCCATGTTCTCCGTGGCATCGCGCAACGATTCTTTCCCTTTGCTGATTGTTGAGACATTCAACCTGTTTCAATAAATCACCAAAAAAATTGTTATCCATAAACCATAATATTTAAATTCAAAATATGAATAATAAATTTATATTGGATGACAAAAAGTGTGACAACCAATATATGTTACATTAGAAGATCACAAACAGTTAAAAAACCTTGAAAAAATGTTCACATTGGAATACATCAAAGGGCAAACAAAATAGCAAATTACATAAGATGATAATAAGTTCAAAACAATACAACAGAAGACTGGAAAAAAACAATTGCTCAAAGGACATCTGAGAGTTTCAACGATTGGCAAGATATTCATTATACATGGACATGGCAATATTGTCCCGCCATGAAGTCCATTGTTGTGATGGTTCAACGTTTTCTATAAGCACTTCATCATTTTCCTCGTCGTCAGTATCTTCATCGCTGTCGTCATTCACAATAAATTCAGGGACATTTGCCTCTTCATGATCGACATCATTTGTTGTACGTATAAAATTGTGCAAGAGACAACAAGCCATAATAATTCGATTTAGGACTTTGATTGGGTAATAAGCAGGACTTCTCAGTATACCCCATCTCAACTTCAATACTCCAAACGCCCTCTCAATGATATTACGTGCCTTCGCATGTTTTATGTTTAAATATTCTCTAAAGTTTCGAGGGGCAGCACGGCCAGGACCATATGCTTTAAGATGATATCTAGTTTTTCTGTAGGGTGCAAGAAAACCATTCGCGTTTGTGTAACCTCCATCAACCAAATAATAATTACCTGTAATCGCGAGTAATGAGGTTTTCAAAATTACTTTCACTGTACATAGTACAAAAGAACTTCTATATAAAATAACGACACATACCCGTAGGAACCTTAAACCCGTTAGGTACTAATCGCATCCCGAAGGATTCTACTATCAGCTGCAGACCCTTCCCAATCAGTCAAAAGATAAATGAAATTCATATTAACATCACACACTGCAAGCACATTAACAGACACTTCACCTTTGCGGTTCCTATATCTTGCTTTATCAACACGAGGTTCTCTCACTTCAATGTGAGTGCCATCTAATGCACCAAGGGATCCCTAACATTACCCAATTTAGTTGTTCGGGCAAAGTAAGAAGATATAGTTTAGTTTTAAATAATTATTGCTTTAAAATAAATTTATTTATGTTTACCTTAAAGTAACCCACCGTTCGTTATCCAAGTCATCATCCACAGGTTTAGGAGTAGTCAAAAGTATAGTGTGTAACCTAAGCAATGCGAGTAATACACGATTTAAATGCTTACTTATGGTGTACCCCGATCTTTTAAAGTCTGTGCTAGCTACACGTTTTTTGTATGATGACCCAAAATCTTAAGAAATATAGCCACTTGTTCTCCTACTTGGACGTTTCTAGTTGCAGTTAGACCACCTAGATTTTCTAAAAGATAACACAAACGTCCAAAAGTGTCCCTATTCATTCGAAGGTTATCTCGACATTTGATATCATTTTCCCCAACTAGAGTTGCCATATATTCAATTTGCTTAGATTATCTAACTATTAAACTGTAACAAGATGGGGGGCGATCTGAATAATTCAAACAACGACGCTTACGCCCATAATAAAGACGGATGAAAAACAAAAGGAACAATCTTATATCAAATAAAATTTGATGAAATGCAACAATAGCCTCCTCTTCTTCTTGTTCTTCTGTTGCCATCGTTTACCAAACAATGTCTACATTTTTAGTAGGAGATTTTAATTATATGTACTAGAAACCCGCAGCGTTGAA